GGGAATAGTGATTTGTGTTCATTTCACCAGGTTAATGGATTAACCTTACTATATTCTTCATCTTTAATATAATATTTAGGAATTTGAGAAAGATTATCATAAAGAGCTACTTTTTCTTCAACTGAGAATGAATTTTTATTTGAAATTAAAATATCATTATCATCATCAAAAAATGAAGCGAAAAAAAATTAGCGCTTGATGGTTCTGTTTCTTGAATAGAAATTGATTGTTCCTGGTTATGATATAAAGTATAAAGATAAGTAAGAGTTTCATTTTTTTTAAAAAATGTTATATAACTCATTTTTTTGAATCTTGGATCTAAAAAAGAAGCTATAAGACTATTAAGTGATGGTTCAAACCATCTTGATAGCATTGATTCATTAATTTTACGGCAACAAGCTTTTACTGTAATCGATATTATTGTTGAATAAAAATCTTGTAAATGGTGTGAAAGCTTAATAAGGGTAGGTATCATCATTCTTAAAGTAGGATATTGATTTTCTCCGATATATCCTGTTGCTTGCGCAAAAGGATATAAAAGTTTTGCTAATTCGTCTAATGAATTCCATTCTTTAGTTGATAAGAAAGCTTCTAAAATTTTTAAACTATCTTGCCTTTCTTGTCAATTAACACTTTGCTTTAAATCATCAGCCAACTGTATAATAGCATTACAAAGAAGAAGAAGATTTTTTAAAAGGTTGTAAGTTGAACTCCAACGAGTTCTAGTATCACTTGAAAGGGGGTTGACTGGATGCTATAGATTTAATTTGGCTTGTAGTCTGCAAAGTTTTTCACAATATTTATCCTAATTTACAAAATTATTTAACATTTTTGCTTTATTAATTAAATCATTAACTTCTTTAATATTAAATCTGTCTTCTAATGCAAGTTGAATTGAATATGCTGTATAGTCTATATAAAGTGATTTTATGTAAGTATAAAATTTTATTAAAGTATTTTATATTAATTATATTTTAATAGCTTAATTCAAAATTTGACAAAATTTAATATAATATAGAATCTAATTGTTATAATATAGTCTTACCTATATGCTCGATATCGACTGCTCCATTGCTTTATTCATCGAAGATGCATTATTCGTTGAAGCTCCAAAGAGTTTATTATATATACCCCACTGGTCAAAAAAATTGTCAGCAGAAATCTTCAATCCGATCACCTGTATGAGGGTAATTGAACTTTTGGATTGTAAAAAGAGCTTGGTATAAAGTAAATTCAGAACCGATTCAATGAATAGTTACTGCAATGTAAGGTTGATGAAATTGAGACCACAAATCTGTCGTAAAGCAAAAGAAATCCATCATTGTTTGTAATAGATTTTTAAGTTGTTGCTCAGCAAAAAGTACTGATTGCATTAATTTTTCTTTTAACTGATCAATGCATGGAAACATAAATCTTGGTTCGCATTCAAGAATCATATCTTGAAAGCAATTATTAGTAGTAGCATAAAATGATTGACGATCGTCTACAACCCAAGCTAAAATACGGTTTGTAATTTTATCATGTTTTGAAGATGGTAAGAGTGTTTTTTTATTTAAAAAGTCATGCAATGATGATTGATTTGAAGCTATATTAATTGATTGATTATTGTTATTATTTGTTTCAGGGGCAAAATTCTATGAATTTGGTATAAATGAGATTTTAAGTTTCCTGTTCCAGTTGATAACTCATATTCTTGATTACAGATAGTATCTTTGTTACTATCTTTATTTGTTGTTTTAACTTTGCAATATATTTTTTTTTTAACTTTATTTCGTCTAAAATAATACTATACCCAACTTTTACTAGACTTCGATTTTTTGTTGTGTGTAAAAGCTTTTTTTTTGAATTCTTTTACCTAAACTATTAGTAATAACAATAATGCCATTATTTTGTGATGTAGATTGTTTAGGTAAGCTTGAGTTTAATTCAATATCTGGGTTGTTTAGATTCTCTAATATATTAGATGCATTTGATTCATTTAACAAGTTATAAGAATTAAGCTAATATTGATCGTGTATTGATATTTCGATACTAAAAAATTTAGTTACAAAACATAAAAATTTTTCTATCACAGAAAAAAAAAAAAAAATCAAATTATTTTAATTACTTTCATTATCATCTTTATTTATTTATATTTAATTACATTATATTATATATTAATTAATTATTTTTTTATATGTAAATATATATTTGATTAAGGGCGTTCTCAAGTACCTATCTCAATGGACTCAATAATGAATCTGATTGGTCTGTTTGATCAAAATAGCCAATCAGATTTTTTATTGAATTCATTGAGGCAGGTGCTTGAGAATGCCCTAAGGGTGTTTTCAAGCACTTGCTTCAATGGACTCAATAACGAACATGATTAGTCAGTTTAATCAAACTAGGCAATCAGATTTTATTGAATTTATTAAGGTGGGTGCTTTAGAACGCCCTAATTCGTGTTATCAGCAAGCTATTGATTGTTTTAAACTTCACAATTAGAATTAGATATATGATTGTTACTTTTTAAATAGCTACTGTATGTATAGTGACAAGCCAAATGTAAATATCACAAATTTTTATCTATATGCTTTGCTGAAGAAATAGATTTGGCCAAGGTAGCCCCAAAGTGGCAGTATCTTACAGCATGATAATCATACTATACAGAGTAATTGGCTTTTTGTAAAATAGTCCTGAAATGTGGCACTAATAAATGTAGAAAGCCTCATGATTGTTCATTTTTATGATTATGCAAGAAGATAGTATTATTTTGGAGAATTCTTTGGCTAACTCAAAAAGATAACAATTGTATATATAATTTTGGTGCTTTTCTGGATAGCAAAAAAAGACAGTATAATGTAATAATTATATCTACTTATGAACAATAGCAGTGCATATATTTATATATGCAATACATATATATACTTGCATCTGCTTACCTTTATTATCTCTATTGTTTATGAGTTTATATTAGCTTCAAGTAGCGATGGGAATTTCTAATTATTGATTATGAATTATATATATATTAACGATTAAAAATTAATCAAATATTTTTCTAAGCTAATTATCTAATATACATAGAACATCTTTGTAGAAAATAATCTAATCGATAGTTTTTTTTTTACAGGAACTATTATTGATTAATTTTTATTGCTACAAAATCATTTTTATATTAGAGTATATAAAAAATATATTTTGATTCGCTGATTACACATTCTATCAATACTTTCTATGCATATTGGATAGTTTATTTATCAATTGTTAAAAATGATTAAGTTAGCAATTTCATGTTACATATTAACAATTAATAATTAGAAATTTCTATCATTAGCTTGAGTACGTATACAGGAACTTGAGACTAGAGTTCTAATCCAGTTTGCATTTATTCGAATAATTATCAGATATTTGGATATCCATTTATTATCCATTTACTATTGATATATATTTAGATAATTATCTGAATATCTGTCAGATTATCCAGATATCAATTGTAAACAGATATTCGAATAAATTAGGTATGGATAAATAGGTGACAGATTTATCTGGATTGAAACTCTACTTGAGAAAGTAAAAGAATTTGGTTCTTGGTCTTTGAACAGAATAATTAATAATTGGCGAGTATAGTTTATTTTTTTTATTATATATTTTGATTTATTTTACTTATTGTTAATTTCTCAAAAATGAGTATGATTCAAACAACTTGAATTTGAAATATTGATTTTTTATACTAATGATTTCATTATTGTAAGTTTTAATAGAATTCTAGACTTGAGCAATAATAGAATTTAATTTCTTTAATATACAGATTTAACAATAAGAAATTACAATTTATTTGTAATTCTCATTTAACTGAATCTTAAAAATAAATATGCAAATACAAGGTTCTTGAGAGTTTAGCAAATGGTGTTTTTATTAAAATTATATATACTAAAATAAATTCTAAGTTGATCAATTCTAGAGTTCTAATTTATTAAGCATTTTTTTTAGATAACTATCAGATATCCGGATCTGAATTTATCCATTTACTTTTGATATCTGGATACCTGTCAGATTATCCAAATATTTGAGCGATTTGAATTATCCAGATAATTAGATATAGATAAATAGATGATAGATTTATCCAAGTTGGAACTTAATCAATTCCTGAAGTTAGCTTCTTAAAGTTATAAATATGCAAAAGTGTATATGCAAATTTAGAAATAAATAATTGAATTTAGAATTACTTTATATATTTATATAGTATAAAATTTATCTTTTTTTTTTTTTTTAAATATTAAGGTGACCACTTAGGCCCTTGGCACTTTATTAGTACAAGCGGTAGGCCAA